AGCTGAGCTCTGGGCCGGCCGCAGCAGACAGGTGGACGTGGGGCGAGTCTGTCGGTCAGTCTGCTCGCCACTCTGGGCGTCCTCCACGGGCTGCAAGCTGCGGCTGCTCCGGCTTTCTCTTTGCAATGAGGCTGGAGCGTGGGCTTTTATTCCCCCTTCTTGCGTGTGTGCGTGCAAAATATCTGTATCTCGGCAATGAAAGATGGGCGCTGGCGGCCGGAGGAGAGCCCTGGGGAGGCCGTGGGGGTTGGCTGCGGGCTGAGGGGAGGCAGGCGGGCTGCTCCCGGCGTGCGTGCGGCAGGAGGAGAAGTTGCCACCCTTTCAGCTGTTCTGGCCTTTATAGAGATGGGAGGTGGGTGGAGCAGCCTTTCCTCTTCTGGCGGAGAGTCAGCACCAGGAGGGAAGGGGGGGTGGCAGGAACTTGGGAGGGCCTGAGGCACGGATGGAGCCCAGCAGCCCCTCTGCCCAGGAATTTGGCCCCTGGAAAGGGAGAGCTAGAACCCAGCAGCCCCTCTGCACAGTGAGGGTAGCCTGGTTTCACGTGGTTGGGGAGATGTCCCCTGGACCGCGGCCAGGAGCCCTAAACGGCTTTTCCAGGATCAGACGTTTGCACCCGCACAGGCCTGGTGGAGGAGGGGTCGGGCTCTGGCCTTGGTTCAGATCCTGCCCTGGCCCCGAGTTGCTGGGTGACCTTGGGCAAGTCATTTCCTTTCTGTGCCCCTCCGTCTCGCCTCAGAGCGGGAGAGGGTGACTGCGGGGGCTCAGTGCATAACGCACCCAGCCCCACGCCAGCCACAAGGCGGTCACACGCCCCCCACGGCCAGTGCCATTCGGCTGAAAGCGGGGCTCATATCTCCTTCTCCTAGCTGGTGGCCTGGCACACAGCAGGCACTGCTGGCATCGGCCGCATTTGAATTTGTGGAACTGCAGAGTCACACAAACTCCCACAAGCCTGCAGCCTCCTAGTCACCCTGGTGTTTACTACCTCCCGCGGCCCCCAGCCTCGAGGCCCAGGGCCCACCGCCCGCAGCAGCATCCACACAGTTAACACCTCCCACCCCCAGCTCTGGGAGCGGCTGTGTCCCTGCCTTCAGCAGTCACACGGTCACAGTCACAGAGTCACACGCACACCCGCTGAGCCCAGCACCCAGCTCACTGCATCACCCTGCTCCCGGCTTCTGGGTGCTTGATCTGGTCCCCGTGCGGCGTCTCCCGTCTGCCCTTGGTACCCCAAACAATGGCAGCCTGCTCCTCACTCATACACACACCTTCCATCACTGAGACACACACACCGTCATCTCTTCAGAGAGCTTCTCCTTGGACTGAGCAGGGTCACCTGCTCAGAGGACTTCTCCGGAGGCCTCTTCACAGATAGCCACACAAGGAGTGGTCCTCTAGAGCAGTGATGGCGAACCTATGACACGCGTGTCAGAGGTGACACGTGAACTCATTTTTTTGGTTGATTTTTCTTTGTTAAATGGCATTTAAATATATAAAATAAATATCAAAAATATACGTCTTTGTTTTACTATGTTGCAAATATCAAAAACTTTCTATATGTGACATGGCACCAGAGTTAAGTTAGGGTTTTTCAAAATGCTGACACGCCGAGCTCAAAAGGTTCACCATCACTGCCCTAGAGGCTCAGACACGATGATCCACGTGGAGGCACAGAGCAGGCTGCCTGGCGCATAGGGTGCGTCTTTGCTTCGCGCGGCGTTTCCTGGTGGCCAGGTACTGTCCAGGCACAACGCTGATGCAGGCTCCAGCCCCGGAGGAGCCCCGTCCAGAGGAGAGACAGGTGCATAAAGAGAGAAAATAGGAGACAGTGATAAGGGAAATGGAGGTTGGCGAAGATAACCCGAAAGCTCAAGGTCTGAAGTTTAAAGACTTAGAGATTAAAACGGTTCCACTGGACAGCTAGGTGTTTTGACCTTGACCTTCTATATCAGTGGTTCTCAACCTTCCTAATGCCGCGACCCTTTAATACAGTTCCTCATGTTGTGGTGACCCCCAACCATAAAATTATTTTCGTTGCTACTTCATAACTGTAATTTTGCTACTGTTATGAATTGTAATGCAAATATCTGATATGCAGGATGTATTTTCATTGTTGAACATAATAGCATAGTGATTAATCACAAAAACAATATGTAATTATATATGTGTTTTCCTATGGTTTTAGGCGACCCCTGTGAAAGGGTCGTTCGACCCCCAAAGGGGTTGCGACCCACAGGTTGAGAACCGCTGTTCTATATCCTTATCTGTAATAGGATGATAATAGCTACCAATATTAATATTTTTTAAATATATTTTTATTGATTTCAGAGAGGAAGGGTGAGGGAGAGAGATAGAAACATCAATGATAACTCTAACTGGTTTGGCTCAGTGGATAGAGCGTCGGCCTGCGGACTCAAGGGTCC